TCGAATTCCGTCCACACTACCCCAATTCCGACCTGCAAAGGCCGTTTTTATTGCTAATCCCCTCGTCGGAGGTGGTGTAAAGAAACCGGTTTAAAGGACCCTTTAAGTCGAAAGAAAGGGCTTCGTCGTGTGGACGTGTCCAGGCTTAATTCGATTTAATGCTGCTAAAGTCGACCTAAACCCGTAGTGTAGACCAGGCCTTAGCTTCGGGGAAGCCAGGCAGCATCTGTTGCTTTCTCCTATGTCCTGCGCAGCAGGCACTCAGCTCTTAGCTCCTGGATGTTCTTTATATTGTAGCTGTGGCCTCTCTCCCTGGGCAGAGTTCAGATCTCCCTGCCTTTCCTCCGTCCTAGGGAGCAGGGCAGGGCGCATCACGCTGGTCTGTGCCCCTTCCCTGCTCTGCAAACCCCGGGAGCGGGACCGGCTCTGTCCCCGCGGCTGGGGGAAACGTGACACCGGTCTCTGCCTACCTCGCAGCTCCGCCCGCAGGCTGCCCCGCTTGCCCTGCCCACAACAGGATGCTTTCCCCTGGTGCATCCCCCTGGCTCCCCGCTCCCGGACGGCTTCCCCGAGGGATGGGGTGCGGGGGGGGGGGCGCTTAACCCTGTCATGAGGGAGGGGGAGCAATGGATGCTAAAGTCAGAGACGGAACAATTCTAGCGGGGGAGGGTGTCGCCTCTGTGGGAGGGAGCTGTACGGCCCGGCCCCGCACACGGGGGAGGGCAGTCCGGGGGGCTGAGCTGCACGGCCCCGCACACCGAGGGGGTGGGGGGGCTGTGGGAGCTGCACGGGCCCATCCCCGTGATTTCTCCTTACACACTCAGCCTGTCCTCTCCGACAGAGAGGAACAGGCAGCACAGAGCGAAGCGCCCTGATCCAAGCGGTGTCCTCGCTGCGGGACGGGGGGATCCGAGCTGCCCAGGGCCCCGACTCCTGGTGGAAAGGCTGCACTTCGCTACAGTGCTGCCCGGGGCACGCCAGCCCCGAGGTTGGTGACCGCCCTTGGGGAAAATTATCGCTGGAAATAGAGTTCCGCTCGCGGCAGCTCTGAGCGCCGTCACTCTCCCCGCATGCTGCCCTCGCCTCCCGCACAGACTCGACCCGGCCTCCGTCCGGAGCGCGCTGTGATTTTATCCAGCTGTCCACCATCAGGAGGATCAGCCCAAAGATGCCACCTTGTGGGACATGTTGTGACGACTGAACGCTTTGCTTTTGTGTACACCTTATTAGAGAGACAAGGCGGGTGAGGTAACATCTTTTATTGGGCCAACTTCTGTTGGGGAGAGGGGCCTGAAGAAGAGCGGTGTGTGTATTAAAAGATATTCTCACCCCCCCTTGTCTCTGCAATATCCTGGGACCAACACTGGCTTCAGCAACATGGGGTATCCCCTATTGTCCCATCAAGGACTGTGCTGACCAGGCTACCCCTTAACCCTGGCACCAAGCTGGCTACCTTCTGTCCTTGCTCAGTGGGCTCCTTCCTAACTGCTTTCTCTCCGTTCATTTGCAAAAGCATTCCTACTGCAGTATGGCCTGTCCCATTCACTTATTACTCCCCTACTCACCCCTCTAAAAGTGCCATAATTAAACCTTCCTTCCTCAGAGCATAAGCCAACCACTAACTGACAGGGGTTAAGGAAAGTTATTCCATAATTATCCATTGTGGGGTTTCCTCTGAAACATTTGGTGCTGGCTACCACCAGAGACAGGATGTTGGACTAGTTGGACCTCACTGGTAGGGTGACCAGACAGCAAGAGTAAAAAATTGGGAGGGGGGTAATAGGAGCCTATATAAGAAAAAAACCCAAAAATCGGGACTGTCCCTATAAAATCGGGACATCTGATCACCCTACTCTCTGGTCTCATTCAACATGGCAGTGACTTTGCTGAGATGTATACTAAGGTATCTTCTAGAGTCTCCTGAAATAGAAAAACAATGAGAACTAGTGGAACATTTGGGTGTTTAAATGGACAGGATCTCCCACCCCTAGCCCTCACAGAAGCTCACACACTCTCATCCTTTCCCACAGGCCCCAGAACATAACCCAAATAACCTCTAGCATGACGTTGGCATCCTCCAGCTTGTTATGAAACACATTCACATCAGCAGGGTCCTCCGTGTGAAGTTGCCCATCTGGAAAACATTAAACAGCCACAGAGCTTCAGAGAGCAACAGCTTAGCACATCTTCCCTATTGTCTCTCAATAACCATGTCTGTCTGTCTATCTTTGATATTGCTGAGGTTCCTATGCCTGTGGTATCTAAGGGTATAAATATATAGCAGCTGGGAGGTGTAATTCTGCAGCAGCTCAGGCTAGCCATCCCTGATACCGCCAGAGCCACACTTATTTTTAGACACTAGCTTGAACAAAGCTAACATGTGTATGTCTACCCACCATGGGAATTACCCAGCTTCTGTGTAGATGTACCTTAAGTGCCAAAGAGTCTAACCATTGGATTTGGGGGAGCAGAACTGGGGTTTTATCAGGGAGATCGAGCAAGTTAAAGAAAGCGAAGGGAAGGTTTCAGGACATTGACCCCTTACTCCCAGCCCGTATCATTCTGGAGCTGGGATGTTAGGGAGCAAAAGTATCTGCTTTGGTAAGCCTGTGAGAAAACCCTCCATGCTGGGATTTGTATCTGTCCCATTTGTTCTGAGAAGGATTCTGAATTGATCTCCTTCAGTGACTGTTTTGTAGCATCAGCCTCCAGGAATTCATATTGTGCAGTGAAATGATTAACCATTAAGACACCAGCTAATTCCTGGGTGGATGTCACCTGGGGCCTTGGTTCATTTCAAGGGGATTTAAGGTGAGGGAGGTGAACACTGCATCAGGGAGGGAGAGTTTCTGGCTACTGGAAGGTAGCACTAAACTAAGATTCTGAGGTACAGCCCTCCCTCTTCTCTTGGCCTGTGTGATAATGGATACTAGCTCCCGTTCTACCAGTTCCAGACTCCTTCAGGCCAGAGTGGAGGAAAGAGGGCCACATTGGGTGGGCCAGAATTGGGAGACAGCCAGCATGGAACACAGAATTTCTCTGTGCAGAAAAGCGGTGCTGGCAGCAGGGGAGAGGAAATGGGAGGCTGGCTGTCTTTTTGGGATGGAGGGGGGGAATCTTCTGGTCCTCATGAGGAGGAAGGAGGCAGAGCTGATGTTGGGTAAACTAGCCATAAGTACTCAGCATATCTTTCTGTGGGATCCCAAGTGTTAAAATTAGCAGGTGCACTTAATAAACAGAAATGTGATTTAATCTTTTAGTTGCATAATGCTGCTACCAAAACCAGCTTCCAACTTTCCATTCTGGAGGAAAGCTCCCCCTGGGGATGTTAGGAGCTGTTCAAGATGGATACTGCTTTCCATTCTGCCTGAGGGAAGGTTCATTTCTCTACACAGCTGCAGACTCCCTGATCAAAGCCAGATGTGCTTTCAGAATGTTAGCTGGGATTCAAGCTGCTGTTTCCATCTCCTCAATGCACATTCCAGCAAGGCTTATGGCTCAGGTAACGATACTGCACCCTCTGAGAGCTGCTTTTCTGGACTTCTAGTGGCTACCTGATTCCCATTTCGCCTTCTGCCTATTCTGACCACAGCTAAGTGCACAGATCTCTATAGTGGGGAACATCCAGCCAACTGCAGGGTTTCAATGAACGAACAGAATAACCCCCAAATCACTCTTACTAATATTTTAAAAATACATTCGTGTCAGTGTAGAAGGTAGAGTAAAACATACATAAACAAAACATAACAAGAAATGTATGAAAATAATTGGCCCAATAGAAGCTGTTCTCACAAGGCTTCCCTCACAGTATTTCCTAATCAACAGCCTTGTAAAGGCACCTGGAAAAGCTTTCTTCAGCAAGGGCCAAAGGAGTCTCTCCTCCTGCCTCCAAGTGGTCTGCCTCACACTAACAGGCAGTGGGTTTCTCACCCAGGGGGACATCTGGGTATTTCGTAGGAAATAATTCAGCAGGTGATCCTCTGATTTTGAAGGATGTAGTGTCAACAAAGACCGTAAGGGCATAAAAGGCATTTGGGGGGACAAATAAGTAGTATATGTCAGGAGTAGAGCACTCTTAACTTCTCTGGAGACAAACTCTGCCATCCCTCTTCCCTCAGTCAGAATAGAGTCTAGCATAGAGCACAATTCATTTGCTTTCTATCACAGAAAGTTGTTTTTGTAAGTACACCCAGCCCGCCAGCATATTTGGGGAATTAGGTAAAACCCAGCACCAGTGGAACTGCACAAACACATTTGTTTTGCAGAGCAGCCACCTCCCTTGCAACTGCACCTCCTACCTGTCTGCCTCCAGGATCCAGCAAACACATAGAGGACCAGTGCTGTCCACAGCCAGGCTCTGAGCTGCAGCTGGTGCAGGAGTGCCATGCCAGGTAAGAGTCCCCACCCGTTCTGTAGATAAATGTCTTGGGTGAAGCGAGAACTGTTTACTGTGGCTTCTCTCCTCCCTTTCTCTGATCACAGCAGCCTCTGCTGGAATGGATCCTCCCTTCTCCCTCCAGTCCTGGGAAGGGCCTGCTATTGAATTCTCTGTTCCCAAAGGGTATTTTCCATTGCAATCTGGAAACTTTAAGACTTTGTTGTTTAGTTTTTGGCAGAATTCTTAAAGCCTCTTTTCCAAATTCTGATTTTTCCACCTATGTATTTTAATGGGAAGTTTCTAATTCCAAGGGATTTTCCATTTAAACAAGTGACAAACTGGAGTTTAATCTAATTTCCCTGTAGAGTGTGGATACTCCCCTCCCCCCCAAGCTCCTTGGCTTTCTTTTAAATTTTCCATTTACTGAGTTTGGAATTTTGAAAACAAGCTTGAAATGTCACAGCATGATGGGGCTGGCAGTCTGTATAGGCTCCACAGCAGGACAACAGCATCCAAGATATACAGGCTGACAAAGGAAAGGTCATTCTTCCTTTCCAGTAGAAACCCTCCTGGAGGGAAAGTTTAGTACAATGATCTGTCAGACAACAAAGACAAAAGCCAATCAGCCTTCAGCTAACTCACGGCCCACTTGTGTGACTGACTTCTGCATCACAATAAACAAAACCAGCCTTCAGTTTTGTAGTTATATATACAAAATCCCACCTAAATCCCTCCCCAGCTATTACCAGGTCTCTACCCCTGTGCACCCCTGACAGCCCCTTTCCTCATTTACAATCCCACTCAGGCTATGGGGCCTCTGGAAAAAAAACCCTCTCTCCACTAGGTTAGGAAAACAGGAGGTAGAACTTTCTTAGCAGGAAGACAGAGGATTCCATTCTGCTGTATATGCTGCCACCAGAATCAGTTAGACTATTGTTCTGAGGCTCACGCAATTGAAGAGGTATTTGTGATCCACAGAAAATTCAGTGGCTTAGGAACTGGGAGGCTCAGAATCTCTCTCCTGAGGGAACTGTTCGGGATTTCTGAAGTCAGGCTACTCTTCCTCACTTGCTTCAGCTCCAGTTACTCCTCATTAAACTCTTTAATCTATGGGATCTCTCAACGTTTTTTGGAGAGTGAACATTGTAGTAGAGATGGTCTTGTGCACACCTCCCCTTCGCCATTACATCCTCTGCTTGCAATAACTACAGCAGTTGCTGGCACACAAAATTAGTGTTAGGAAAATATTTAGGTGCTTTTAATGCAATTTAGCACTGGGGGGAGGAGGGGAGTTGGCAGTATGTGACCAGGTAGTCCCCTGTGGAACACCAGCAAATTCTCCACATATCAGTTTGAGAACCACTGCTGCAGGAGGGTATTTAGTTATAGTTTATACTTTTTCTTTGTTGATTTCAAGACAGAAGCTCAGGTAAAGCTAAAAGCATTCTCTAGCTGCTCCTCTTCTGCACATCTGTAAATTAGAGTTGACCAGATCACTGCACTGGGCCTTAGGTCAGGGTCAGTAGCAATCCCAAAGCATTTCAAACTTAGTTGCTGTGAAGAAAGTTGGTCTGTTCCTCCACTGGGATCTACCAGTCTCTACTAGGGCTTTGAAGACACCTGAGCCCTGGACAACTTTGGGTTCATGCTCTCCAGTGGAGGAAAAATGTACATTTCCCACAGAACTTGAAATATTTCAAGGCAGCACAAATCCATCTCTCACTGGTCCAACCAACATTAGGTCATGACTCCTCTCCCTTATTGTTACATAGTGCCCCTTCCAGCTCCACCAGCACTTTAGCCACTAGTCTGAGTAGCACTAAGTGAGGCCTTGTAGTCTCCAAGGATAGCATGGATGAGTGAATAGGCTGCAGCTACAAGCATGGCTTTACACTGTTATAAACCCCCAGCTTTCTCTCCCCAGAAGGGATTTGGCCCCAGTCATAACCCTAGTTTCCTCAGTAAATACTCTGGATAGTCAAGAGCTTTCCCTTAAGCCAAGTGCTGTGCTCGGACTCCATTAGGATAGCTGTTTGGACTCTACCACCACTGTCCTTTAGCAGTCCTAGCATTATGACTTAGCTTGGCAGGGCCCTTCACTTCTCATCCATCTCACTCAAGCTCCCCACTCCCATTTATGCAAGAGTTTTCCTTCTGTTTCACTGACCACCCCTCATTTTTCTGGCTTATCACAGTAACCTTTTGATAATGTTACATGTACTGTGAATCATGGTACTATGCCCCAAGCAACTTTGTGGTGTTGCAGCAGGGAGCGTGCTTTGTGAAGCGCTATCTGCAATAATGGATAAACTGCAGAAAACTACTACTTCTAGCACAATACATGCTGTCCCATAGCTTTCTATATTCCTACCATACAACAGCACTGGACGTGTTTTATATGTCATGTTTCTAGCTGTGGCCACAAGAATATTTTCTACCTAGTTAGCTCAGATGGTGGGATGTATAGGCTCAAAGCGAAGCTGGAAATTGTATAAAACCTAGAAATCCTGTTGAGTGCTCTGACTACTGCTTCCCTCTCACAAGAGAAGTCATAACTTTTCATGACTATGCTGAAGACAACTGTCCTTCGCTAGAAAAGGCAGCTCTAAGTCAAGTCCCAAATACAACGATTTGCAGCAGCCTAAAGAAAGCCATAACAAAACAAAACCAATGCTCATGAGCACACAGTGGGGAAGAAAGCATATCCTCCCTCTACATATTTTACCTCTAGGCTTTTATTTCATACATTCTAAGGACAGTCACGTTTGTGATCATCTAGTCAGACCTCCTGAATAACTCAGGCCATAGAACTTCCCTGAAGTAATTCCTGTCTGAACTAGAGCATAACTTTTAGAAAAACATCCAATCTTGATTTAAAAATTGCCAGTGGTGGGAATGCACCACAACCTTTGGAAATTGTTCCAATGGATAATTATCATCACTGTTAAAAATTTGCACCTTGTTTCCAGTCTAAATTTGTCTAGCTTCAACTTCCAAATGTTAAATTGAAGAGCCCATTATCGTATTTTGTTCCTCACATAGGTACCTATAGACTGTAATTAAGTTACCCTTTAACCTTCTTCCTTAAGCTAAACAGATTGAGCTCGAGTCTGTCACTATAAGGCATGTTTTCTAATCCTTTAATCATTGTCACACTGGACAGAGTATTCCAGCAGCAGTTCCTACTCAATATTCCCCTCCTTACACATTCAAGAATTGCATTATTTTTCAGTCACTGCTTCCCAGGATAGAGTCCCCCAACCTGTAAGAAAGGAACAAAGAATGTAAGCCAGGGTGTATAACTTCACATTAATATTGAGTTTTAAAACACAATAGTTTGCTTGTGCCCAGTTTACCAAGTGATCCAGATCACTCTGTATCAGTGACCTGTTCTCTTCATTATTTACCACGTCCCCCAATCTGTCTCATCTGCAAACTCTCTCAGCGATGATTTTACATTTTCTTCCAGGTCATTGATAAAAATGTTAAATAGCATAGGCCCAAGAACTGAGATTGGCAGGACCCCACTAGAAACTCACCTGCTTGATAATTCCCTATTTGTAATTGCATGTTGAGACCTGTCAATTAGCCGGTTTTCAGTCCATTTAATGTATACCTTGTTTATTTTGTATCATTTTGTTTTTTTAATTAAAATGTTTCCCTGTAAACAGGTTAAGAACTTGCCACACCAGTTAATTAAATAGAAAGAGGACATTTGAGTTCTGCATTATCTGCTCCCCTTTTCTTTTCTATGCTCTAGTCCCCTCCCTAGTTCTTCCTCATAGGAGTCCCACACCCAGTTCATGATTTTTTTCCCTCCTGTTAGTGATTTTACATTTTACAGTTAATGACAGGCTTAAACAACCCCAGGTGCTTTTCAGCTAATTAGAAAACTGCATTTTCCATTAATTAGTTCACAGACAAGGGTCTCATGTCAGGTTTTATTCATATAAATATTAAGGGAGAACAGGAAGGTCAGTGCCACACAGGAAGTTCCCAGCATCCTCTCTGTCTTGCTGCTATTTTGCATCTCCTTTCTTGTCTCCTGCTTCTAGTTTCAGGGTCTCTGGAGCTGTGCGATAGGCAGGAAATGTCTCCCAGGGACTATTCAGATCAAATTTGCGGAACTCCTGAGCCAGCTCCACAGGCTCTGCCACCACCCGTTTCACCTCATCATCATAGCGCACCTGCAACAGGGCAAAAACAAGCTGGTCACCATTGCTTGTTCCCAGCCACTGAGCAGCTTCTTCTGTTAGCCAAATACAAAAAATGACAGGCTTGTAGACTGCTCACTCCAGTTTTTTAGTTCAATGCTCATGAGAGCTCAGGACACATGGCATAAGGAGAATCAGGCAATGTGCAGGTGTGTACCATCCAGCTCTGTCACACACATCAAGCCTGATCCCTTGCTATTCCAGTCCTGATTTCCCAACCTCAGCTCTGCAGATGTCCTTTTGTCCTTTCCTACAGCAGCCTCTGCTATTTTGCCTCTCAAAATAAAGTTAATGCACCTAATCCTGACCCACAGTCCCTTCTCTTCTAGTCCTCAGATTCAATTGTGCAAAAATACTAAGCTTTGTGATGCAGTCACGTAGAACTAGGTGGAGACCAAACAAACTCATTTAATTTGTGTTTTAATCTAGATAAAAATCTAGGTTAGAGGAATGGGATGTGTGAAGAAAGCTGAGGCAGCTAAAGGTGATGGCTTTGTAATCTTGCCATTGGATTTGAAACACCTTGACTCCCTGGAAACAGAGGTTCCAGAAAGATCAACTCAATCATTAAACCCTCTGAGGGAGTTAAACCGAGTCTCCAGCAATTCAGTGGGAATGAGTTCGATCTAATGGATGGGGCATTAAAAGTAGCTGGTCCTGTCTTCTTTGCCTGGAAAGCAAAACTTGCTGCTCTTGTGTAAGAGGAAAGGTTTGCCCTGTGTCTCAGGCCCCCAACTCCTCTATTATGCAGGGTGCTGTGTGTTGGCTAAATTCCAGGGGGAAAAGCACTAAGAAAATTTAAATGATTATTAAGCAAACATTTTACAGTTCCATAACAGCCATGTCCCAGCTCTGAAGCATAGATGGGTTTCTGAATGCAGAGTGAACCAGAATTCTTCATACCTCTACATATCCGGAGAGTGGAAAGTCCTTCCGGAATGGGTGGCCCTCAAACCCATAGTCTGTTAGGATTCGCCTCAGGTCAGGGTGGTTGGCAAAGAAGACTCCATACATGTCCCAAACCTAAAAGAAAGGAAACCAAACAAGCCACACCACCCCATCCTAGAAAAGCCCCTCAGCGTACCTCAGAAGCTTAAAACTTCCACACCTCATCTAAGAGGGGCCAACCCAACAAAGAAAACCTCTTTCCAAAGAGGCCTGCCCAGCCTCCATTTTCTCTCTCATCCTAGAAAGAAGCCGCTGCCATCCCCCACCCCCCCGCCCATATATTGTACCCACAATGTGTAGGTTGGATGCCTGGACAGTGTAGTGGCTGGGCAGTTGATCTGGGGCACTGCTCATAGATTCAAAGGCCAGAAAGGATCACTGTGATCATCTAGTCTGACCTCCTGTATAAAATTATGGGTTTTAAGGAGGATTGGCAGAATTCAATTATTTATTTGCAATTTAGACAGATAATACTGATGTTTATTTTAAGCATTTCCCCCCCTCAATTTAAGTTTCCACAGTTGTGCAAAATTATGGGTTTTAAGAAGCATTTTTCCAATTTTTAATCTATTTACATTTTCACAGTTGTGGAAAATTATAGGGGGGACAATTACTTATTGACAATAGACACAGATTCAAAAAGTTAAAGCTTTAACACCGTTAAAACATAAATTGTCAATATCATGTGTCAAAACAAAGTAAATATCCTAAAATCAATCTGTAGCTTACAAGCAGTATTTTTCTTACTTTGCCTGTCAACTTCTATCATCATCATCGTGATCATCAATGGAAATATTTTTTTCCACCAGTTTGTGTGTGTCTGGCAAAATCAACCTTTCCAACATTTACTGATAAAAATCTAATCCTTCCAGCCTATATAACACAGGCCTTAGAACTTTCCCAACAGAATTCCATTTGAATTTGAGCTTATATTTAAAAAAAGTAAATCCAACCTTGATTTAAAAATGATCAGTTAGACAAATTCAGACTGGAAATAAGATGCAAATTTTTAACACCGAAGGTCATTAATCATTGGAATAACCACCATCCTCACTACTCAACCTGTGGCCCAATCAGCACAGAGCTGCGACCCATGTGACATCCTCAGGGCCATACAGGTAGTATTCGATGCAGCTCACATAACATATTATGGGCTGCATATGTGACCCACAATGGTAAATAGGCTGAGAACTACTGTCCTAGAGGATAATAACCTTATAAGGAATAGCCAGCATGGATTTGTCAAGAACATGCCAAACCAACCTAATTTCCTTCTTTGACAGGTGGGAAGTAGAAGATGTGATGTATCTTGCTTTTAAGAAGGCTTTTGACACAGTCCCACATGACATTCTCATAAGCAAACTAGGGAAATATGGCCTAGATGAAATTACTATGAGGTGGATGCACAACATGGCTGAAAGACTGTACTCAAAGAATAGTTATCAATGGTTTGCTGTCAAACTGGGAGAATGCATCTAATGAGGTCCCATACTATTCAATATTTTCATTAATGACTTGATAATGGAGTGGAGAATATGCTTATAACATCTGTAGATGACACCAAGCTAGGAGGGGTTGCAAGTACTTTGGAGGACAGGATTTGAATTCAAAATGACCTTGACAAAATTGAGAATTGGTCTGAATTCAACAAGATGAGATTAAATAAAGAAATGCACAGGACTTTACTTGGGAAGGAAAAAATAAAATGCACAACTACAAAGTGGGGAATAACTGGCTAGACGGTAGTACTGCTGAAAAGGATCTGGGGTTATAGTGGATCACAAATTGAATGAGTCAACAATGTGATGCAGTTGCAAAAAAGGCTAAAATCATTCAGGGGTGTATTAACAGGTGTCTCGTGCATAAGACATGGGAGGTAATTGTCCTGCTGTACTCTGCACTGGTGAGGCCTCAGCTGAAGTTGTGTATCCAGTTCTGGGCTTCATACTTTAGGAAAGATGTGGACAAATTACAGAGTCCAGAAGAGAGCAACAAAAATGATAAAAGGTTTAGAAAACCTGACTTATGAGGAAAGGTTAAAAAAACTGGGTATGTTTAGTCTTCAGAAAAGGAGACTGAGAGGGGAACCTGATAATCTTCAAATATGTTAAGGGCAAGAAGAGGATGGTGATCAATGGTTCTCCACGTCCACTAAAGGGAGAACAAGGAATAATTGGCTTAATCTGCAACAATGGACGTTTTAGGTTAGATATTTGGAAAACTTTCTAACTATAAGGAAAGTTAAGCACTGGAACAGGTTACCAAGGGAGGCTGTGGAATTCCAGTCCATGGAGGTATTTAAGAACACATTGGACAAACACCTGTAAGGAATGGTCTAGATTTACTTGATCCTGCCTCAGCACAGGGGGCTGGACTTGATGAGCTCTCAAGATCCCTTCCAATCCTATGCGTCTGATTCTAAATTGTTCCAATGGTTAATGATCCTCACTGTTTAAAAAAAAACAAAACTACATCTTATTTCCAGTCTGAATTTGTCAAACTTCCACTTCCAGACATTGTATCTTGTTATACCTTTGCTCAAAGCCCTCAGAAGAACGTCAAGTGCCTCTTCTCCCATTCCCAAGGGCAAAACCATTCCCTCCTGCACAGTTCCCAGAGGAATACAGTTTCATTCAAACATGGTCGTCTCCAACCCCCATATGGATCCTGTTCCCAAGCACAAAGCCCTTGGGAAAGCACACTGGAGCTCACCTCTCTTTCATACCAGTTTGCTGCCCGGTGCACTGACACTGCTGAATCAACAGGTGTCAGCTCATCTGTGTAAGTCTTCACACGGATCCGAGAATTGAAGCGCAGAGACAGGAGATTATAAACAATCTAAAGGGAATTGAGAAAAAGCAACCAATTTGTTGTGGCCTAGGTCATGTACAAACTGTCTCTTGGAATGAATTGTGATTTTTATAGTAAGATACCAGCTGAAGGGTCACGGGCAAGGAAGACGAGAGCTTTTCAGATGAGTTTTCCAGTGAGACCATGATAGCACTTCATACTTATGGAGCAAGGATAGCCACTCCATAGTCAAAATTCAAGCTAACTTTTCTACTATTAGCCTGATTTATGAAAACAAAACAAAACCCACCACCTCTAATTTCCCCAGAAACAAACCAATTCTCCTGAAACTTAACTGGCCACATGTACTGTTACAGTCTAAACCATGGATTAATATCTCACATTGTCCAAAGCAGGTGAAAAGTAAGGAGTTTAACTTGACCAATTTATAAAATGAGCAGAAATTGGAGACAAAATATTAATACAACTTGGATGCATTTAAACTAAAAACTGATCAGGGAGTTGCAAAGCTTCTGGCAAGGTCACCAATTGTTTTATTGACTAAGAGGGGTGGGCAAACTTTTTGGCCTGAGGGTCACATCGGGTTTCCAAAATTGTGTGGAGGGCTGGTTAGGGGAGGTTGTGCCTCCCCAAACAGCCAGGCGTGGCCTGGCCCCCGCCCCCTATCCGACTCCCCCTGCTTCTCACCCCCGACGCCCCCCTCATCCAACCCCCCCTGTTCCTTGTCTGCCCCCGGACCTCCCGCCCTCCCATCCCACCCTTCCTCTCATTCTTGATGGCCCCCCGGGACCTCTGCCCCATCCAACCACC